CCAGTCCAGTGCAGATAATCTCTACTTGAAGAGTCCAAATGAGGACGAAACCGGACGTGGGGTGTTAGTGTTCACAGGGAGTAAGACCAAAATCCTTTCATTTAGCTAGTTGTATTACTGAAATCCAAAACGCTTTGAAGTCTGTTCCGCACGTCAGAAAGGTGAACATGTTGAAATCTGGGCACCTCTGCAGCCATGACAGATATTAAACCAACCACAGTTGCTCACCAGTAATGACCGAAACAACACCGGGAACAACTTGCATTGGTCGCAACGGGAAAACTGCAGACCCAAATGACTCTGCAACTACTAGTGACACTTTCGACCCTATGGAGTTAATGACCGAAAGCAGCCCCAAGAACAGCCACTATATTTGAGGATCCACCAACGTGTCTATGGTTACTGTACCGAGCAGGTCACCGTTTTACAGCGGAAACCTGCTGATCCTAACTTGACGAAGCGCGAAGCCGGTGTCTGTTGACAAATAACTCCCTACTTAAAGAGGTTGCAAAATCTATTCCGCCTTGTTTCCCGAGAAATAATGACGATACCAAAAGTACATCGGAGCTGATACTCACAAGGGTTACCAATGCTTTGTTAGGTATGCCAGTTACCGTGCTACACATAGTTCCCATCGAAAGCGTTTTACTACTTCAAGCCTCTTCATGTTGCCAGAGTTAAACGCCATCTTCCCAATATCGTCGGAACAGCAACAGGCAGTAGTTACTAGATAACCTGCGAATTCTTACTGTTCAAATGGCTCCAAGCCCTTTCATCATAAGGTCTTTAGCTTCCAGTGCTGCAATACTCGATAATCCTTCTTGCCTCCTTTGAGATTTGCTTGAAACTTGATGAACAGTAAAAACAGTTGCACCTGCTCACAGTGAAGGCAATAACTGCCGTTTGAAGCTAAGCTTTCCGTTCTTTAATTCTGTGTACAATTGGTCTGGGTCAATAAACTTTTTATTTTCTAAATTGTTGCACCAGTTTCATTATTTGTATTACTTTTCGGTCGAATCTTGACCGGTCTGTCCCCTGCGCATAGCTTTCTGTGCTTGTGCCTCTCTATGCTTTTCTCGCGAGAAATCAAACATTATTTTTTTAATAATTTGAGTCTCACTGTGTCCCGGATGAGAACTTCAAGTCAGCGATGGTTCCCTTAAGCTAAATTAGTAGTCTGACATGATCGGTTAACTTGAATTAGCCCGGAAAACATAGACTTGGTTGTGAACCTTGTTGTTGGTTGTCAATCAACTCGAATGACACGTTAAAGCTTTAAATGTTCTCAATTCATTCTACATCTCGGCTCAGCTAATGTGACATAGGTCATTTCTGTCTGCATTCAAGCCTTGGGTGTCAGTGTTGAGAGGGATTAACACCGAAATTTCTCTAAAGCTAGGAACGCTTTTAGCTCAAGGACATCAATAAAACTAAACTGGCGGCTAAGTTGCTCCCTCTACATACACACAGTGCAGATGGTGTCGGATTTCTACTTTAGCACATATATGTGATTACTCTCGTTCATATCTAACAGATTTTAGTGATTTGAAAGGGTCACGTTGGAACGAAAAGAATAAGCACAATATATTGCTGTCGATTTGCATAGCAAGACCCTATTTGTCCTGTGTATTCAGGGGTAATTGGGTCTAACGGTAGCTTGTCAGATATCCAGTTGCTCAGTTAAAGTGCGGTTGAGTTTTATGACTGAAAGTGTGATAATGTTCTAGTTGATGTGAATACTCGGGGCATCAATGTCTCTAATTTCATTTTCAGCAGAAGCTTTGCTGACTTCAAAGTTACTCTTGTGTATGTATAAATGTTAAACACTAGCTGAGTTAACCTAAATTGGGTTGGGATCGTTGGTGATAACTAACTTATCAGAGATTTTCTTGACAATATTTTTTTGCTGCAAAAGTTATGAAGAAAAATGTTTAATACATCTTTTCTCAGAGACATCTACTTTTGTTATGCAAATAGCTCTATTGTCACGCAAAAGACCTGCTAGAAGGAGGATGACCATGAAGTGTAAGTTCAGGTGTTCTGACATACATTTCAGACGGTTGGCAATTGGAAAGAACTCAATGCTGGTGTATCTTAGAGGGATTCGGAGTCATAAAGCTGTTTTTCCGACTAGGGTTGTGCGGAATCGTTGTCAATGGATGATTTATTAATAGGCTCCTGAATATGGCTATTTTTCCTACGGTGAAAACCTTTTTACCACACATCCATCGCACCTTTGTTCATGAAGGACTTGCCAAGCAACTTAACGCAGTGTCATTTGATTCGCATTATGACTTGCTTCAAAGTGAAATCTGATGCTTTCTTACCGCATGTGAAGCCTTTTTAGGTATTTTGTAACTGCATACTCCAAATATGCGCTGCTGACTCTGTCTAAATACATACCTCAACATTAATTTGGAAGCAAATGCCATCAACTACTTGATTGCTCAAAGGTATTTGTCATTGCACGGTCATGGATATCCGTGGTAACTACAAGAACCAGTCAGGCTACTCTTGACACCATGTAATGGTATAAGAATAAGATTTACTTCTTATAATGAACCATAACTTTGTATAAGATACTTGAAAAATAATCCTCTCTTTCAAAAATCCGAAGTGTGCCAACACTGCTGAGTGAATGAATGCAGCAAAGCTAGACGACGTGGCTGATGTGAGAATACACCAACGAGGTAATTCAGGACACTTATGCAAAGTAGGCTACCCACCAACAAGTCAGGAAGTGGGGAGAGTGATTAACGACGTTAATTTATATGAGGAATCCGAGGGTGTGTAGATCGGTTGATTCGTCCGAAACTCAAAATTCCTACACAACTGAACCCGCTTAAGATAGATATGGTGACGCTTTTTCCTCAAATATGCTCTTTCAGTGCAAGTTAAGTGAATTCTATATTCATGCGCCTGAGCGTTTAATTCACGTTAGCCGAATTCGCCGGATAACTACGAGCGTGTTTAACTAAGGTATGAAGAATCGAAAGCCGTTTTAAGAAAAGACCCAATCTTAATAAATATTTATTTAGACTCTTAAATGTTTGCATTATAACCTGCAGAAATGTATCCACAAAATATATTGTGGCTTAGAAACCACAAGAAGAAAATTGGTGCAACTGACTCTTCTGAATGAGCAAACAAATAACAAACATTAAGGTGTTACTGCTTTCAATATATTCCACTCTGTTTTATTCAAAGTTCATAACTTTCAAAAATCACAGCAGAGAAAAAACAGATGATTGCATATTCACCGCACGTCTTAATTGAGACAGCTTGGTAGTGTTATGAGCTATTGCCATCACTATCGGATCTTCTTCTACTTAGATAAGCGTACAATAAGGCAACACAAACGACAGTGATAGCTATGTAAAAATCAGGCTTTTAACATTATACTAGATGAACAGTCGGTAAGTGGAGATAATGAGGTATTTGGATAGCTGACACCATTTTTCAATTGGGCACCAACAAATCTCGGTTTTGAATACAGGGATTTGAATCGGTGTTTTTTTTATCCTAGGACATAATAAATACACTCTTTGTAAAATGGTTTGACTGCCAGAAGGGACAAGCAAAGTAAATGACATCGGCAAGTCGATGGTAGTCAGGTTTTAGCCAACGTTTAACGGTATTCCGCATAGAGGAATGTGGCCACAAGCTTCACTAAATCCAAGTCAGGTGGAGTACTAAATCTCCGTGGTCTTAAAGAGGGTACTTCATCCGCCGAATCGCAGAAGTCCAGGCAAACTAAAACAGGAAAGCGGCAATCTGTTGGTTGATATTGCTGCACCAAACATGATGGAATTCAGACATGCAGCAAGCCAGTAGCTACCGGGCACCTTTGGACCATTCATTAGCTGGTTGCACATTAAAGGCGAGGACATCTACAGCTGGGCTAACACGGTCGCTATCACACATACAATTAAAGAAGCAAATTCATAAAGCAATAACTCATGATCTTAGCTTGTTAGATCAGTATTCTATCTGTACCTGCATAACTTTTTGCAGTACTACATATTCAGTATGGTAGTAACAATTCTATGGCTTTGCAGAAGCAACACGGAAATCGCAACATCTCTATTCATATCAAACGAAAATGAAAGACGTTTGCAAAATGATTTGGTGGAAACGATTGCAAAATCTTTCACCAAGACGGCAGCGATCCTTCAGGCCAAACCTACTGTCTGTAAACATAGGGAGTTGACACCCACCTAGCGCTGATTTAGTGAGGTTTGTGGCGACATTCCTCTATGAGGGATACTGCCCAGCGTCTGATAAAATTTGACTGCCACCCGCTTACGGACGTCGTTGCAATTTGCTTGTCGCTTCTTTTAATCTAACCATTCCACTAAGATTGCATTTTTTACGTCATAGAATAAAAGGAAACACCACTTCAAATCCCTGTATTAAAAACCGAGATTTGCTGGTTTAAGTTTGAAAAATGACGTCAGCTATCCGACTAGCTCGTTACGTCCACTTATCCACTACTTTAATTTTACACTTCACAGCAACGGAAACATGATATATTATTGTCTTCGATTCATTTTTATCGAAGCATTGTGTAAGTCACCTTGTGTGTTCATCGATTGCTACATCACCGAAGCGCATAACAATTACAACAATACACATAGACGATTTCTGGCTGATCTTATTAGCGTTACTTGTTGAAACTTGTGACAACGCGAAGATTGTTCGCCGACGATTTCAACAGTCCTAAGTAGCACAATCTTATGAAGCTAATTAAGCGATTATGCAAACATATAATGGATTGTTACAATTCGGTACCATCGTAGATGTGCATTTTTTGTCGCAGTTTATAGAACAGCAAATTCTGAGTCTTGTTTTAAGTAAAGCAGAGCCGTATCTGAGAATACACCTAATTGCTTGGTTAAACCGGCGACTTGAAATATTACTTTAGAAGCACATGAAATATTTTATTAACGCATTCAAGCTAAAACATGTATTTCTCATAATCTTCTTTCCTGCTAACAAAGAGGGTTTAGAACAGAGACTGAATGACAGCGATGATCGGTCCTCTGCTACCACAATTGTTGATGGCGTTGGAATGGTCCTATTCGCAGTCTATCACGGCATCATTATAATCGTCCTCGTCAACATGCTCATTGCCATGATGAGTCACTCGTTCGAAAGTATTCAGGTGAGTAGTTGCAGTGGCATGCTTCAGTTAGCCATCCACCTTTTCTCAGCTATTAAAATACTGGGTAGTTAGCTCAATGAAAATGGTGTAAACTCTTAATATTTATTTTACAAGTTGTACCGAATGCAAGATCCGTCAGAAATATAATGATGCATTTTTACTGTATTGTAAAACACCTCGAAGCTGAACTAAATCGATGGATCAGTTAATGCCTTTAGAAGAGCAGCTGCACGTTTAAGATATCTAAGACGTTTAGAGTTTAGCACTTACAGCAGAAATATTTATAGTTGCCAATTGCAACTCACCGCTCTGCACAAAGAATACATTTGAATTCCCTCGTAAGAGGTGACACTGTCCAACTCCTCCCGTTGCATTTAACCAACTTCAGAAATAACAAAACACTATCAGTTTCATTTTGAACCTCTCTGGGCCAAGCGAAATTGATTGGTGTAGCCCGAGCAACTTGTTCAACAACGACTTGTTAGCCCATTCAAAAACGGAAAACGTTTCTTGCAAACAAACTACTTATTCCACGAAGTAGTCTGCGACAAAGATTGTACAATGTTTGTCAGCTGCTATTAACAGTAATTATTGACTCACTAATGACCGGCCCGGATGTAAGCAGGGAGAAGTGGACACACATTCGATTGTGCTAAGCAACCGCGCGTGCCGCCCAAATAAGAAATAAGTGGCAATGCCCTGTTTGGACTACATAAACAAGTTTGGGGCTAAGCATCTGCCAAATCAAACTGGAAGGTCGTGCTTCCGTTGACATAAAGCAATTACCTAATTGCACAAATTATTTTGAAAAATTATACATCACGATGATATCCTAGCCGACTGTGCAGACAAACTATGACTGAGGGCTCAGTGACGCTTGGAATGTATTACGTCTGGAATCGATATGGTTATATATGGACATAATTTAATTTCTAGCGCTAATCGAACTGCCCACACTCCGTGACCTAGGGTACGATTGAACCAACGGATTTTCCGAATGACCAAATATGGTATGTCTGCAATTCGCAAATGGGTTATGTCTTAACCGTCCGATTACAAATAGACCGGTCGAAAATCTAGTTCCTGGAAAATTCGACCCAGAAACAATAACGGTAAGCAGCAGATCGCGTATCCCACTAATCCTCCATTCTATAAAGGGGTTTATTGCACGGTAAATTAGCTATGGTTTTGTTATTGCTTAGTCTACCTTGTTATTCCACAGTATAATAGCATCACAACTACTGACTTAGGAAGCAAAATCCTTTACCTGGCTGCTATATTATTTGTGCTCTTTTGCGTAAGAATCATCAAAATAAGCTGATTAAACTAACTTGAAGGACTGATGTTTAATATTAGTCCCTTGCTTGCGACTTGAAGCATAAAGACTCAAAGCAGTCGAGCAAGTACTAACTTTTATAACCACATTTTATGCATTACTCATGGGACACAAATGCCAAGAAATGGTGGGCGTCTAGATGAGGCGCATCGGTTTGACACTAACGATTGTTCCACCATATTTGTTGTCCAATAAATCAAGCAAGAAGTTTTCTTAGAAGCATAGACGCATTTTATTTTACTTTATTTTAATGTAATGGATGTAATAATGTAATGTAATGTAATTTAATGGGTGTAAATCTATCCCTTTAGTCCGTCACCTATTAGGAAAAGGTTTTATATGACCCCAAAGCCTTTTGACTTGCGCTTGCTCCTAACATGTGGATGGTAGGTGTCCGCCTACTGAGCAGCAAATTTGATTCAGACAGAGAATCTTACCAAATATAAGTAATGGTTTTTAATTTCCTGTTTGCGGCTAAGCCCAAATTCCTGCAGTTTTCCAATAACATTTCATCCACTTCTTCAACTGTAAATGGAACGCAAATACTACAAATTTCGTTCAGTTTAGATTGGGTCATCAAAGCATTTGTTCATCCGGTGGGCGTCAACCTATCAAACAATCTCAAAATGTTGCTGGTAAAGATATTTAATCTGAAAAGATTTCTTCCAACCACTAGGTTAAATTAAAAATTTAATTATTTGTAATGAAGATAACAAATAACTTCTCGGTACACAGTTATTCAACTCTGCGGTTTAACAGTACTAAACGTTATCGCAGTAGTAATGTTTCCTCAATATTTTCTCCTTTAAATCCACGCACAGGAAGACTGCGATGTGGAGTGGAAATTTGCACGAACACAGTTATGGCTCAATTACATCGACAACGGAAGTACACTGCCTGTCCCTTTCAACATATTACCTACACCCCACAGTGTGGCCAATGCAGTTCGATTTATCCGAAACTTCTTTAATGATGACAGCAAGTTTTTTTACGGAAACACAAGGAGCACAGCCTTTGTTAAAGCAAGTTATACTTGATTTTTCGTTTAAGTATATGCGTCTTAGCACCCCATTATAAACATTGAAGCATTCTGGACAAGTTTGATAAACTGTTCACTAGCTTACTTGTGTATTCGTTTCCCGAGCTTGTCAGTTTGGTTGCTGTCCTACCGTTATTACCTGAGGTAATATAACCAGTGGAAATGTTCACAAGCCGTTGGTTTATTTCAGTTTACTTTTCAGAATCCATTTTATTGGGAAAAATCTATGGAGCAAAGCTCAACGAGCTGTGCTGAAATTAGTTAATGTATATATTAAGATCACACCGGAGTACAACAATATAAGCTCAAATTTACATGCTATATATTACCACATATGTATTAAATTTCCTGTCCAAAAGGCTAGTACCGTTCATAATGTTGTAACAAATGTGACAGCAATTAGTAAGCAATGGATAAGATTACGAACTCAAGGTATAAGTACTATTTATTTGACTTCTCTGGTGGATTATTGCTATAGCATGCTTATCTGAGAAGGATCCTTTGCACGCACAGCACTAACACGGTGAGAGAATCCAAAATATAAAAATGCTTTATAAGTGAAAACTGAAGCCAGGAAAGTACGAAGAATTGCGCATAATGTTGTAAAAAGATTATTACATAGACGAAACCGAAGAAGGTTAGCAAAACATGGCCCAGTGGGACCACAAAGTGACCGTAAGACAAGAATAAGTAGTTAATCTTTAATCTTATTCAGGTCAATACAGTGAAAAATTACCACTTTATCATAAAACCCACTGCAGCGATAGAGATATTTCATGCCTTAAATGGGACTCTATCGCCTTTTGGGCTGTAGCCAATCTAGTTAGAAGGAAATATACTTCAGTATCCCAAACATCGTCAGCGTGACCTCCCATTAAAGTGGTTCCCCTTACCGATTGCTCCAGCATGTCTGTACTGCAGCGACACCCCTTGAGTGCTGTAATTTTCTTCAAATCCGAGGAGCTCTGACGTTCCTTTTATTCTTTATTCCTATGTAGACTGAAATCCTGCTTGAGCGGAGGCAATTCTTGCAAACTAATCTTAGATCGATTATGTATGAACCAGATTATAATACTAAAAGATAAGCTTGATTGTACAAAGACGCAAAGTCGAAACCTGTTACAACATCACAACAATCAAACAACACTTCACCAGTTGGTTGCACATGTTGGTCTTCAGTCAAGGGATGACCGAATTTTCGGCACATCAGTGCAGGCTTAGAGGAGGACACTGGTTGTGAGGTGTTCCTGTATAGTAGGAGCAAATCCAGCGCACTTCAACAGGGCCAGCACACCCAGTGTGACTGCTCTAAACCCATCCGTAGATGCCATATCTCACGAGTTGGCCACAACACCAACAGACCAGTGCCGGGTAACCTGCGCATCGATCGCCTCGATATCAACGTATAAAGAGACACACGTAGTTCCAATTTTTGGACCAAGCACGAGCGATGTGACGCCGTATTCACAACGTTCTTTAGTGCCCGCCAAGCAATCCAAGTAACTAGCCACAACGCACAAACCGACATTCGTTAAACGGAACTCCAATGCGTTAACGGTCATGTGCACTAACATTCTTGAGTCCAGAACTCGCACAATAAAGGGCAAGTAGGTATATGATCTCAACTAGTGACATTCCATCTGCGATACGATTGGTATTCGGGTTGGCCTTACTGGGGTACGACGTGTAGCGCGTCACCCAAATTCCGTGCACAATGGCAAACCCCGATTTCTTCGAGTAACGTTGGGTCCAAATGAGGAGACGGAGATAATCCTACTCTCAGCAATTCAGCTTCGCAACTCATCGAGCTGGGTACGCATACTACCCGATATTCCTTGGAAAAAGCAGTCGAAGGAAGAAGTAAAACATAGAGGCCCTTCTACGAAAGCAAAAACCCGTATTTGTTCGTGGTGTTCCTGAACTACTGGGCTCCATTGAGCACGAAGCGCTAAAACATGACCGAGAGCAGTGTTGCTACGTCTGCGAAGTACTCTCACTGAACCAGGTTATTACTATATCACTGACGTGAATTCCTTCCTTTCCAAACTACAAGGCCTGCGGTTCAAAAATATTGAATCTCGTGCTACACTCCGATGCAATGACAGAAGTTCAATTGGATAGATGGCTGAAGCATCGCTCCAGGTTGCCTACCGAATTTAGGCTAAAGGTAGCAGGCGCACGGCCACTAGTTTTCGGCACTTCATTGGAACTTGCCACCTCGGTAAAATACTTGCCATCACAATCTTGCGGATTTGTAAACAAAATAGCATTAGCGACTCCTGACAGGACAGGGTGACACACATGAGAATATCTCGATCTGGAATGTTCCATGCTACCATGCAGCCCGCCTAAACTTCAAGAACTAATGAACCACACAAAAAGCGATTAGCGCCTGACCGAAAAACGGGTGGCTTAAAATTAAACAAGAATTTGTTGTCCACCTCCACAATTCTAACATCAAAAACACTATAATGTTTGTATACTAACGCCCAAGGTCTTCTTAGTAAGTTGACCGAAGTTAGAGAACGCTAGGCGTCACAACCACTAGATCTCAGTATGATTAAGGAGTCCTGGTTAAGCCTTGCGATTGCAAATTCTGAAGTCAATTTACCTGCTATGTCACATCTTCGGAATAACAGAGCTGGAAGAGGTGGTGGCGTAATTCTGTATTACAAGGCTAATCATCGACGTGGTTATTGACCACCCATAGATCCGTGCCCCAGATTCGCTTTGGTTCCAGCTTTGGTTCCGAGACAATGGCACGTGTCTTAGAGTTGTGATTTACCGTCCACCAAAATCTACGTGTGAAATGGGCTCCAAACTAAACAACATTCTTCAGGTTGCTATGATCAAACATACGGTCACATTCTCATCGCAGACGACTTTAAGTAGCGGCGACCCATAGCATGCAGTTCAAAGCCTGTTTAAACGAGGTAATTTCTGGCTACTCTCTGTACAACCATGTGGCTTCTTCCACTAGATTTCGAACTGCTAACAAGCCGTCGATACTTGATCTTGTGCTCGCCAACGAAGAACTCATGGTAGACAGAATAATTACAAGCACAACACTGGGTCCAAGTGATCGTGTGACTCTGCTGTTTAAATATGTATGTTATGCGGAATATGCTAAGGAAGAGGATGATAGTGTACACGGGCACGCACGACAACGTGTTGTTTGCGCCTTTTAAGGAGGTATCTTGGACTTTCTTAACTGGGGTATTTTCACAAGAACATTCACCACAATGATAAAGCACGTATCTGAGCAGAAATTCTTTCATTTTCAAAGCGGACGGAAGTCATTTCTGAGGAGCAGAACACGCCAACGTATGTCCTTGAAGGCCTTACCATGGAGAGATGACAAATACTCCCTGAATTCCGAAAACTGGACTGCCTATGTGGTACAGCGTAACTTCCGCGTAAGTTTCATCGGCGAGGATAAGTTGACGCATCAGCAGGAGTTAATGAAGAGGTACTGCGCCAACTGCAAACTCTTCTGCTGGCATGTTAATGACCTTCCTAAGATGCAACGCGGAATTCCAGCACTGATCACGACGGACTGGTGCATGCGATCAACAACAGAAGAAGCTGATCTATTCGGTTCCATTACTCAGAAATATTCCAGAGAGTAACGGGCACTAAGGTTGTTCGTGGTTCTATAGTCTCACCATCAGCCTTATCCAATATTACTAACTGCAGAAAGTATGTCAAAGAAACTGCTGTCCCTGCGGATCCACTGCTCTCCTGGTGTCGATAACATTTCACCGAATGCTTTAGAGGCAGCAGGCAGTGACCTGGCGGAACCTCTGGCTATATTCTATCAGCACGGTATGGAGGAGAACCATATTTCAACAATATGGAAGCGTGGGGTAATCACTCCTATGCATAAGGGTGGTAACCGCACTGACCCAACCAATTACCGTACTATAACGCGACTCCCTGTGCTTTCCAAGCTTATGCAGCCAATCATCGTAGATGCAGTTATGCAGCATATGAAAAATCACAAGATGATAGCATCGGAGCAACATGACTTCCGACAAAAGCGCTCATGCACTACGAACTTGTTAATTGAACGCAATGGCTGGACTGAAGCAGTTGATGGTGGGGCAGGTGTTGATGTCATTTACTTGAACTTCTCAAAAGCGTTTGATCGCTTAGACCACCGAATTCTCCACCATAAACTTCAGCTTTATGACGATGGTGACGCACTGCTGCGCTGGATAAGTAATTTTCTGCAAGAACGTCGGTTAGAAGTGAGAGTACGAGAATCTCTGCCCGAGGCAATTGAGGTGGGGGGCGGCGTACCACAACGCTCGGTGCTCGGGTCCCGTCTAGCCTTGATTTTTAGAAACGACCTGGCGAGGAGAATTACTTCCGTTTTCCCACTGTTCGCGGATTATATCAAGTTATGGCAAGAGACCAAAGAACCGAACGACCACGAAAAGCTTTAGCGTGACCTCAACACGATTTCAACCTGGTCTGTTTTGAATACCCTACAGTTCAATGTGGAAAAATGTCGCGCTGTTTAATTGCGTCATAGACCTGACTATGTGTATAGGCTTGGGTCACATATATTCCAACCAAATTTCCACGAACGCGAGGTTGCTGTGCTCATTCAAAATGATCTTAACTGTTCACAACAGTCAGAGGCAGCTGTGAAGAGACCAAACCTGCACGTCGGCTGGCTGCGGAGAGCATTCGGAAGATTCGACACATCCATCTTCCCCATGATACAGGATTCATGCGTGCGCTCTCACGTTGAATACGCCATTCAAGCTTGACAAGCCTAGTTGAAGCGCGACTTATTAGTGCTAGAGAAATCACAACGCAGGGCTATAGGGAACCTCAAGGGCTTACGAAATCTGTCCTACTATCAAAGGTTGAAGTCACTGGGAGTTATCATTGGCCGCTATCGAGGGCTGCGCGACGATCTCATAATGTAGCGAGAACGACACGGTAGGGGAGAACGCTGTTTATTGCACGCTGAGAGGTTCACACACATGTCCCACGCACACACACAAATATAGCCACGTTTCCCACTTACGAAGCACCACGTTCCGCCGAGTGAAGTGGTGTCAACTAAGCGCCATTAGGTTGATCCGACGTGGAGATTGAATGTGCCGTTTTCCGCCCACATTTCTGCTCCGTTGCGTCGCAGCCTATCCATACTGGATTCGTACCAAAGCTTTCGACTTGCTTGCTCGGGGCTGTGTTGCTCTGGTCGGGCCGATTCCTGGGGCCGTAGATAAAGGCATATCTCTTGGGAAAATCGGGCTCCCTTTCATGTCGCCTTTTGTTCTTCTCGGCGTGGCCGCGGTATCGTTTGTCGCTGACGACCCATTCCCGGCTTGCATCGTAGGCCACGAGCTGGGTTGACGATTCTCGTTCCCAGTCTCCGCGTTAGTCCCGATCTCCTGTTGCTTCCGGGGCATTTCCGTGTGAACTGAGATCCGCGCCCCTACAATATTAGTCCACTAAATATTGAGTGACCCTTATCACGTATGCCATCACTAGCTGAAACGCAGCAAAAACCCCAAGCCCAGAGGTAGCCCTCTGAAATTAAGTGTACAGTATATCCATCTGGAATGCAGACTGAATTTTTATTCTCTTTGGCTTTGCAAACCCTAGGCCTCTCTGCCAAAGGTCCTTGTTTCTTCTCCCACATTGGTTTGTTCAAAAAACGATTAGATGTTGCCCTTGGCCTCCATCACTTCGTTGCCTAAACTGTATTAGTTTGAAATATATTATTTATCCTTTCAAATCAGAGTAACATGTTACACAAAGCTAAAGAGCCGGTACAGAATTGAGTATTGATGATTTTACTTTTCTCACGGAGCAGGACAACTATAACTGTCCGCATTTTGTCTCGTCGTCCACATTCAATTCCCACTTACACTACGTTGGTTACACTGCGTTGGTTAAAGAAAAATGCAAGATTATAAGTCTGTTGTTACTTGAGAAGACTTGGCATTTAAAACATTAAAAGATATCATACTTTCCTGGTTGTCTGGTGGTTGCTAAAGACGAATAAACTCTCAAGAACAAAGTCCATGTTCCTTCACCGCTGTAAAATTGGCAATTACAGTGCTCTTAGACGACAAAGCGGAATTATTCGCTGTCTAGCCCTCCTCGTTTCCTTAGCAGCATTGTTTGCAACGGATTGAATTGCGACGGCGAGATAACAATTATGAGTGTTCACAACCAACAGTCTTCTTAAAGACAACACACTTATCAAACGTGCACACTGCATAGTATTTTCTTCGATTTGTCATTCTAAATTTATGCTCTCACATTTAGGTGCGTCGCGACAAAGTAATGAAAGAGAAAGATTTGAATATTCAAGAAACATCTCATTCGGATATAATGCAACGATTGGTTCGAAGGTATCTATTTAAAATGGAAAGAGAAAATGACACAGATGGTTAGTTTATATTTCTATTTGTTTCAACCTTATGCACAAAATTTTAATTTAATAACGGATGATTATCTGGGACCCCACCTGGTCTCGACTGTTTGCCTCGGGTCTTGATAATTACCTTTTAAGCTATTAGAGTACGGTCAATTTTCACAAGCGCAGTCAGTCTGTATCCGCCAGAATTGTACTTTGCCTGCAACAGAGATCCGCAGGTTGCAAACATAAGCACCTCCTAAGACATGCTCTACGTGATTTAAAACAAATGTAAAAAATTTTGCTTATGCTCATATTGAAAACCCGTTTCCTATAAGATGCGCAAAGAGTGGGTTCGCGTTAATATAGACTGAGAACGTTTAGTCTGTCAAACGTCGACAAACAACGGGCTATTGACACAAAAGACTAGAACGTTAAGCGCTTACGCACACTAAGCCATGTTATCTAGGCCGCACACTGCAATGGGAAATTAAATAATCACAGCAGTTAATCTGTTATCTCAACCAGAGAACCACCAGAGTACAAGATAAACGCATGGTCAAAGAGCTAAAGTGCTTGCGGTAATTCCTAAAGAATGCAACCCTTTGGCTAATTGGTGCGCAGTCAGTCCAATGAGACCAAAAATAAATTAACCTTGTGGCTATTTGCAGCGATTGAGAAGTATTGCCGTTGGTACCGTTCTATGTTGGCTTGATAGTTGACCTTAACGGACTACGTGCATTCCACTATCCGAAACAAGTAACCTATAGATGAATACTTCATATGGGCTTTGCGAACGTGTTTTATATAAACGTTCTCACATTGCTATTCTACTTATCTTGCACCAGCGATTTCACTTAAGTGTCACGTTGCTGTGCATTATTAAATCCGCGGATCAAATTTGTTGCAAATGTCGGTCATCATGACGAAAAGTACCCTTAACATCGATGGGCCTTAAAATAAACTATATTAATGGATTTTTCTCATTCAGTATTTATCCGAATCTAACAAGTTAACTATATCCTGGAGTACATATCAAAATATAAATATACATTCGCATTCACTGAAAGGATGATAGCCTGTGCAGTACACTTGTGACGTTGATGGAATGTCTATCGAGCTTAATCCCACGTATGGAGCAATTACTAGCCTTTGAAAGCAAAACTTGTTCTGTTGACTATAAACAAAATACTAATTGGGCAGCAAAGTCTTGGTAACTGTTGGAGAGGATAACACCAAATAAATATTTACTATGTCACACTAAACTCCGACTTGTATCACATGCTTTTACCGAGCATTATTTCGTTAACCCGTCCGAAAGTTACAAAGCGTTGAATTCGCATGGTAATTTGACTACTCCCTTTATTGATGCAGAATATTAGTGCATATGAATGCCAGCGACCTAAGTAGTTTTCACTGCATTCACTGAGGGTTTACGACAAGTTTGTTGTGGTTAGTCAACAAAATGGAGTATACGCAGTGCACAAAGCCTGCTAACCAATCTGGGATATTTTCGACTGACCCTCATGAAGATTTACAATCCACTGTCTAGGTGCTAAACAAGTTACATTCTCTTGAGTTTGCATCCAGTTATAACGGAAAGGAATCAAAAAGTACGCGGTTTGGGTGCCTCATAAAGTTGGCAGACAACGGGTTTCAGGGTTCATTAGAAGTTTCATAATGTTTCTCATGAATAATTATAGATGAGAGCTGAACTGCTGACATTGGCTACACATAATATGACATTGAAAGGTGAGTGATATATTCCACTGCTAAGTTGTAACTTACCCATCAACACTAAATTATTCCTACATAGTGATGAGCAGTAGTCCATGAACGTCATGGAAATGATAACTTTGTTTGTTTCGAGATTTGACTAAGTTATGACGATGTAGACCAGCTAGTGCCGTTAGGAAATTAGCATACGATTTAACGGGCTGGCATCGGGTATAAACTGCTCTTCTGGAAATGCACTGTCCGGAAATGAATTTCAATGATTGTTCTTTGATCAAACATGGGCTGAATAGTGTGCCGAGGTTATGAGGATTGATGCAATAACAAACAGAATAAAGTGTCTAATACTAATACTACATTACTAACTGGGTGTCTGTAGTTTTGAAGCATCAATCATGTAAATCCTCATCAACTCGCTGCTGAATAATTCCTTCTTCTTGTGTGAAATAACGAGCACTTTATCTGTTTTTGATTCCAAGTCTATCGATGAAAATTCAACCGAACACAAAAACGTTATGTTACTTTTAGCAACAGCACAAATGCTTGTCAATCGCAGCATATTCCCGCAGCCCAAGTCTATTTGCTAGCGTGACCACTGATTCAAGACCATATGCTCCTACAAAGCAAAACGCCCAGATTTTTCCCGTAAAACCATGACGCATTTTATTATTATTAATGTTGTTGGAAAAGTAATTAGCTATTGAAAAATATTGCTTTATCAAAAACAGCGCCCTGTGAGTAGAGATGAAAATTAAATATAACTTTTACTTTGACACAAGGACAGTCAATCAGTAACATAAATGCAAATAATTTAGGTTGTCCCTGGTTGGCCAATTATAACCCAGAGACACTTTTCAGTTGCATAGCTTGCTATAAAGTGCATTAGCGTCTCTTCTGTTGGAGGTCGAGTTGCTAGGTTTGCGCACAGTAAATCCATATGATCTTTCTAAGCGGCTAACCCAATCCGTCGCATATACGCAGATATAGGTTGACAGAGTTAATGACACCTTAACGGTAGTACGATCTTTGTCTTGAACAAGACGCTTGATATCAGATTGCCAGATATTACGCTTACCCTCTCTGTTGCATTATGGTGCCTGCTTGCATTGTTTCACAGTTGGAAGAGCTAAGGGATTCGTTGAATTGCAACTAAAAAATATAAAATTTCATAAATTTATGGAACAAGCGCTATGGTTTGCACGTCTGTAAACATAGTAATAAAAATAAACGATGAACAATAACTTTTTGAGTCATGAACCTTCCCTCAGATTATTAACCCGATCACACAAAATGCAAAAATACCAATATTTTAAAGCTGTGTTCAAATTTCCTAGGTGGGGGAACTCGGAAGAAGTGAAAGATAGGTTGCATCTGCACAAGTTTAATTTTACGGGTAATGATAAAAAAACGATATGCTGACTGTACGTTACTGGCTGGTCAAATGTTGTTTAGACCAGCTTCCCTCAACGATTCTGACAATTGTTGTGACGAAAGTGTCGTAATACAATCAACATATTCAGGAAATGGTCTAAACAATTTCGGAATTTGGTATCCTTAGCACTCATGTGCACCAGAAATGGTAATTCGGTTCCACAACTTTGCATAACTCACTAAATTGAAAGTCGGTCGGATTTTATGACTAATAAGCTATGTGAGCAACAAGTTGTCGTCATTACGGGTGGGATAGGTGGCAGTTTTCCGTAAATCGACAGTGGCACGTTCTACATAAGTCCACCTGTTTGTAATGTTGAAGAGCAGAACATTATTCTGAATTCGTCTCAGGCAAAATGGCGCCCTTCAGAGGTGGCGGCAACGATCATAATAACTCAGGGCTGAACAGCCCTCCATGACCAGCATGGTACATGATCGCTGACCATTTTTTAAAGCTAATCTGTTTTGCTTAATTGTTCGTGAATGAAAATACAATACTCCAGCGTCAGTCTCCCGAGTATTTTGCATTTCTCAGGTCTTGATTCAGGTAGGAGGAATGCTTTAATAATGATGTAGCCGAATAGTTGTCCGGTTTTCGCGACTTGGCAAAGTGTATGTTGATAAAAAGTTTTATTAGTTTGAATACCTAATTCCTAAGTACTGAATTGCATCAGACTTTTGGGTCAGGTAACCGCAAAGCGTATTATAGCCTTCCAGGATGCTACATCTGTACCCAAGTACGTTGGGTTTTCTTGTGTAAAGATTTATTAACAGACGTGCGCTAGAGGTATCCAGTGCCAGTATGCCTTCGCGTAAAGTTCCCAGGCATACTTGTACTAGGTCTGGTTGAAATGAGTAGACTAGTTTGATGTCTCCTGAAAACGAAAATGTGCGTCCGTATTTTATCGGGTCGCATGGGTTGTTCATGTAGAATAGTGAAAATGAGTGGTCGCAATACACTTCCCGTAAGACACTGACGGTTACTCATTTTGGCGTAGTGTTTCAAAGTTATTTCAAACCATTGTGTTCAATCGTGTAGGTATGATTCAACCAGCTTAGCAGAGGGTTCCCATTGTTGTGATTGTAGCAAGTATAACAGTGGTTGGTGTGGTACACGGTAGAACGATTTTGCATGTCGGAGAATTTTGACGATTAGCATTCATCTGTCAATCATAGTCCTAACATGTTCGAGGATTTTTAACTGGCAGATAACGCAGGTGCGCTTGCAAAGTAAACCATATGATGGATTGACCGGATCCAGTCGGGTAAAAATTGAACAACGGTCTTCCTGACTATTTTTCTAAAACTCTAGAAGTAGCAGGTGTGTGATTTATGGGGCGGTAACTTGACATTTCTTTTCTGGAGCTAACTTTGTGCCTAGGTATTTTGATGGTTTGCTTCCAATGAGATGGAATGCAACCGGCAGTTAGAGAAAGAGTGAAGATTTTTAATAATAAGGGATATATTTTTTCCACCGAGCTTTATGACATCTGGGGGATTCCAGCTGGGTCCGGAGTGATTGATGGTTTTATGGGCGCGATGGCGCTTTCTACCTCCCTCAATGTCACATGAATATTGCAGAGTAGCTGGTTTGTTCTTCTTTATGTTGGAGGATGAGATAGCTGAGCTTCGGGACAAAGAAGGAGAAAAATCTAGATTTGATTAAATTGCACTTACAGAGGATATCGTGTGTTAATGAACCATCATCTGCCGTCAGCGTTTCAAATTGCTGACGACGTTTAGTGTTTGTTCTTCTGGGTATCTTAATCAGTATGCGTAATATTTTAGGATTTTTAAGTGCCAGCCTTTTTCATTGATTTTGGCTGTCTGGTTTAAGCGTTTTAGTTGTAATAGAGCTACTTGTATCT